GTTTTGTTCTGCAAGTGCTTATAGAAGTTTCCAGAATTGGGACTGGACCATACACAAAGTGGACAATCAAGAGCTAAAACCTCCGTCTATAAAAAGGATGGAAAAATGTAAGTAGCTACAGAGCAACTCTTCTCAGGCCATAGGCGACGTGTAGGGGAAGCACAGGGGGGCACATGCTCACCCCGATAGCGAGCACTCCAGCTGCTAGGGGGGCATGGAGAGTGCTTGTGCCCCCTCTGAAATTGGCTCTGCCGGCTGGCACTTCCACTGCTGCCATGCTGCTGGGGGACACCCTCCCCCCTGGTAAGGCCCCCCCAGACATGGGAGGCACCAGTCGCCCATACACACAATTCAAGTTTCTTGTCCTCTTCCTCTTTTAGCAAGTGTCTCAAAGGTGAATCATTTTCATGATTTCCTGCCTCTTTGGCTCGTTGCGTCTCCACATCAGTTTCTTCCATCACCTTAAGGCAAAGGTGCATTACTCAATTGCCTTTATCTGCTGGCCTCTGGCCTAAAACCTAGCTCATAGCTGATAGATTGTATCATCTATCATGGTAGTCTTTCCATAGATTTCCATGGACTATATATCAGGCACATATTGGCTGGATGTATTAAATGGGAAAGTGGTGATACAAGAAAGACATTATATTGAGGGTTAATAGTAAGGTGGGGTAGAAGAAATATACTCCAGACAAAGTTCTGCCCTGCTAATGAAAACTCCCTGATCCTGAGCATGGCAAGTCATAGTTAGCCCTTGAAGTTTGTTTCTCATAAGAACTGTTTTCCTAAAGATTAAAAATAATTTCTGTCACTACTGTTAAAATGTATCTTAATTTGCCATTGAAATATTCTACATGCAGGATTCATCTACACATATACTTTACTGCTGAGTTGACTAATTAGCTCCATAGAAAAGTGTCATAGTCCACACGTGCACTTGTAATAGGGTGCAGTAAATTAATTAATTCAATCGTAAGCTAGTACTGTGAGGGAGTTAATTAAGTATGGCAGAGTAACAAGCTGCAATCAAACACTTGGGTGGATTGTGGTAGCTGGGCACAAATTGTGCCTCGTCAGCCCAACCAGGCAATGGCCTGACTCCTGGGTCCTGCCAGCCCCTTTGCTGCCCAACACCACCACACAGAGCCCAGGGCTGGCCCCCTCCATACCCTCTGCATCCTGAGGCTGCACCACCCTAGGTTTAATTGATGTGGTCCTGGGTGCATATGTAGACACTGCGCTTGTGAGCTGTTAACTCCAGCATGAACTGCTCCAGAGTTTATTGCATTGCCTTAGTAGCATGTGTAGTAGGGGTGTGTGAAACTGGCCATATTGAATTCAGATACAACCTGAATCAGGGACAGTGATTCGATTCAGCTGAATCTGAAGATTAGATGCTGAATTGGAGAATCAGTGATTCAGCCATAGATACAGCTTTAAATATTTTTTCCACATACCTCAAGTTACGAGGTGCAGCTTGTGAGCGCTGTGAAGTACTTCTAGTCCACCACCAGCCACGCTGGGGAGCCCCTCTGCACCTCCCTGGCTCAGTGATTGCCCATGGGGGGACCCCGGGTGCCCTCCCAGACCCAAGAAACACCAGTCGCCAAGCCAGGCACCATAGGAGGGGCCCCCTGTGCACTTCCCAGCAGACCCAGAAGTGGACCGGAAGTGCTTCTGGTCCACTTCTGGGTCTGCTGCCACTTGCGCGGGTGAACCCACCGCAACAACATATATTTCATAGACATTAGGGCTAGAAGGAACTTCGGAGGATCATCGAGTCCAGCCCCCTGCCTGACTTCCCCCACCAGGAAGTCAGCTGGGGTCATAGGATCCCAGCAAAATAATCATCCAAATGTCTCTTGAAGGCGTTCAGTGTAGGTGCTTGAACAACCTCCGGTGGCGGGCTATTCCAGACCTTGGGGGCTCAGACAGTGAAGAAATTCTTCCTTATGTCCAACCTGAAACAGTCTTGCAGGAGTTTATAACCTTTCGACCTTTTCATCCCTTGGGGTGCTCTGGTGAATAATTGTTCCCCCAGACCCTGGTGAACACCCCTGAT